GGCCGATAACTGGGGGTCCACTGTATTTCACACTAAGTGGAAAGCCAATACAACCATGAACTGTTGCAAAAAGATGGGTTTATATTAGCACATTGTGCCAGTAAGGCAGGCTACTTATGTTTAATACACCACAATGTAAAAGTCTTACCCGATATAAAATGGGCTGAGCACTTCAAAATTTTCCCCACCTCGAAATTTTGTCAAAGTTTTGTTGAAGATGTGACAACCATACCCATCTCTCCTTTAATAACTTTTCACAAGCACCACCTTTGTTTTCCATCTTTTTGGGGAACCTTCAATTCTTTAAATGTGATTAAAGATCGGAAATATTATGACAACCAGTAACTAAAATAGACCATGCTTTTGCATTGAAAACAAATTAACTGAATTTTCAAAAATAATCTACAAAACTCTCACACTTCTAAATGTGTATTAAATAAACAACATTTCTATAAAGTGATGTATAGTATACAAGTGAGTAATTGGTCATGTATAAACCTCTTAACAGTAAGTCCTTTGTTAAGCAGAGCATATGAGGGCAGTCATATAATTAACTTAGAATTACTAGACAGTGAAACATAATACCTTTACCCCTACCATCCAACCTTCCCTTGGGCAACCCTTACCACAGATTTATGCACCCTCCAAGTCATCCTATTTTGCTCCATCCTCTCTAAATGTCCACCTCAACAACTGCTCTTCAGCCCTCTGAGTAATACTTTCATTAACCTCACACCTTCTCCTTATCTCCAGACTACGAATTCCCGCATAATATTTACACCCCACACTGCCCTCAGACATGACATCTCCACTGCCTCCAGCCTCTTCCTCACTGCAACATTCATAACCCATATTCATAACCCAGCCATGGGTCAGGCTCATCTGGTACTTGTCTGGTCAACCAGGCTGTTGCTGCTGGTGGCCTGCCATCCCACATATCTATCACAGCCTAGTTGATCTGGCACCTGGTGAAGATACTTGTCCAGCTACCTCTTGAAGACTTCTACACCTGTTCCAGCAATGTTTCTGATATCTGGGGCCAGAGATGCTGATACAGTGTTCTCTAATTGTACCCACAGCACCCCTGCTTTTCACTAGGTTTATTTTGAACTTCTTCCCATATCTCTCACTCCAGTATGTTATGGCAGTGTGCAGATTTGGGACCAGGCCCTCAAATACTTTCCAGGTATATACTCCATCTCTCTACCTTATCTGTCTCTATATATCTTTCTAGCTATCTCTATCTATATCTACATATATCTCTATCTCTATCTATCCATCTCTATCTATCCATCTCTATCTCTATATCTATCTATATTTCTATATCTCCACTCCAGTGAGTACATATTTAGGAATAAGGCATTCCCAGCAATTTAAATGCTTTACTGGCTCAATGTGGGCCAAAATGATCACTATTTGTTCCAGCTCTGATATTTCTCCTGCCCTGAATGGGGCCGTCAACACCAAGCAATACTCCAAATGAGGGAACACTAACAATTTGAAGTGTCACCACTGGCATTTATTTACCCTGTTTTGAAGGTTCTCAACCCACCCCCGTCATCCTCCTGACTGTTATGACCTTTGTCTTGTTGTGTTCTTTGAAAGGTCAGCTGACATAATTAACTCCAAGTCTTTCACATGTTCCTTTCGTTCTATCTGACAATCCTCTCGAGCTTTGTATATAGTGTTCCTTTTGAGTTCTTCATTCTTTCCATACCTAAGCAGTTGGAACTAATTACCACTGAAAGTCATGTTCTCCACTGCCCACTTGAAAACAATGCTGATATCTTCCTGTAATATTGCTGTGTCTTCTAGCAAAGTGACTTTCATTCTTATTTTAGTGTCATCTGCAAATGATATGAAACTGTGATGGGTGTTTTTAATCTATGTCTGCTATGAGGATAGAAACAGCAGAGGTGCCTTGGGGAACTGAGCTTTTGACCTCACTGATGCTGGATTTTGCTGTTTACTACTAGACACAAATTTTGGATCGAAACAAGAGCTGCTGAGGACTGGGACCACAGGATGTCAAATCCTTCCCCCCCCCCCTCTCCCTCCTTTTGTTTTTTTTAGCTAAATCCTGAGTCTGAGAAGGGCATAGTAAAACCTTGTGTGCTGAACTATCATTCTGCCTAAGACACCAAAGGCAGCTCAGGATGTCCACCAGGTGAAACCAGAAATGTTACCAGCCAGTTCAATCCAATACACAGATGCAACATGGCTACACCAAGACAAACTAAAATCCTCAGTATGAGCCCAGGTATAGGGTTCATTACAATTCTTACCCAAGTAGATTGGAGGGCTCGATGAGCGAGTTGATGATAGACCCACCCTATCAAGGAAGCTAATTCATTTGTCTCCAACATCAGTCTCTCCAGTACTGGATGGGACTGAGTAAAGTTTGCAGATGGATCAACAATCTCATTCTCAGATACAAAACGAGAAAAGAGCCATTCCAACAAGTGTTGCCAAGGTTTATGCCCGGTTGATGTACCATTACACCTGCCAGAATTCCCATTTCATTTACACCTGGATTACCATTTGTCAACTTTATGTCTACTCTGAAAATGTCACATCCAAGGATGTCTACCATCCATTAATGATATCTGATAGCTACTACAGGTAAATGTTACCATTTTCATATGCAAAATGTCATACATATGTAAACAAATCATTGTCTTTATACATTCATGTGCTCAAGCAAGTCACTCATGTTATGCTAGACCATCTTGTATTATGGCAGTTTTTTTATTTGCTTATAGTACATCTATAACACTAATCAAATTATTTTGTCTTTTGAATGAAAAATACTGTACATAATATATACAGTACGTTTAATAGACCAAATGGGAATCGTAATCATTTTGGGAGAGATACATGATTATATACATCTGGAAAATCCTGGAGGGACTAGTACCGAACTTGTACATGAAAATCACTCACTACGAAAGGAAAAGACTCGGCAGACGATGCAACATCCCCCCCAATGAAAAGCAGCAGGGGTGTCACTAGCACGTTAAGAGACAACACAATAAGTGTCAGGGGCCCAAGACTGTTCAACTGCCTCCCAGCATACACAAGGGGGATTACCAATAGACCCCTAGCTGTCTTCAAGCAGGCACTGGACAAGCACTTGAAGTCAGTACCTGACCAGCCGGCTGTGGCTCATACATTGGAATGCATGCAACAAGCAGTAACAGCCTGGTTGATCAGGCCCTGATCCACCACGAGGCCTGGTCACAGACCGGCCGCGGGCGTTGACCCCCGGAACTCTCTCCAGGTAAACTCCAGACACAATGGTAATTGAGCAAATGAAGTAGACGAACTGGGAGTAGACCAAATCAGAGTATTAGCCAGGATGTTACCACTGCTGATTATTAGCTAATCAATTTGCACATCAAGGTGTGGTGTATGAAAAGAATCCTCTAAGTTACTACATACAGCCTCTCCTTACTTAACGATGTACTCGTTTACCGACGACTTGGACTTATGACAGACTCTCTGACCAATATGCATACTTAATGTATATTAGAGCTGATTCTCTCTATTATGTTTATAATGCTATACTACTGTACACTATATAAACATTTAAAATTATACTAAAAATGTTATAAATGGCACAAAGGTGACATAAAACAATATCAAAGACAGTTGACACAAACCCACTACCATTACAGTATGCTCCTTGCTTAGTGATGAATTCATTTACCAACGTGGTCTTAGGAATGTAACTCTGTCGTTAAGTGAGGAGAGGCTGTATTGTATTTCCAAGAAAGTGCCAAATTTGAATGGTTCACATAATTTTAAGGATCCACCAAGTTAGCATTTGACTAGCGAAAGGCACAGAAAATTTACCGACACCAGATGTATCTGCGGGGAAAGAGGTCCAGGCCAGCCTGCTTCTAGTACACAACCAGTTGAGCACCATTAAGCAGTGTATGCGTGTAATCCAAAAAAAATCTACATGTTGTACAGGTTGTCAACTTCTACCTCGTTCAATAATGTGGATAATTCCAAGAAAATGTTACCCCCTTCATCCTTATTACAAATGTTCTCTCTCCTAACAGAAGACGTCTAAGTAAAAAACAAACTGAAATGATAAACGGCACAGAGTGAAAACGAAACAAAAAGTGAAATGATATATACTGTACTACACAATGTATGAGGGGAAACAATACCATGACGATATTGCCGAGCTGCACAGCTCATTAAAATTCAATAGCTTGAAAATGAAAGTTATTTGTTGTTGTATTTTCATATTTGCTCTAGCATTATTAGTTTTCATAGCAAATACCTGCATCTAAAAATGCGAAGATCATTTCTAATCACTCCATATTCATTAACTGTAATTTTCACTTTCGATATTCATGTTCTGTATGGTATTGTATTATGTAGTCACTGTACATCAAACTGAACATAAATGCACACCTCACAACTAAATGCAATAAAAATCTAAGTATGATAGACAACCACTAGAAAATTTAACTTGGAACCAGTAGCATTCTGTCACGTCACATTAATTCTTCAGCTGAAGAGCTAAAACAAACGCAGCATCACTGCCTCCAGTCTTTGTTAATAGCAGTTTTCTATCAAATTTCTAAGAGCACAGGTGTTCCTCGACTTATGAAAGGGCTTAAGTTCAGACATCCCCACCATAAGCCAAATATGAATGTGATAGGCTAAATAAGTAAATACATAATTACTGTAATTAAATACCAGTAATGAAAAGTAACTAAATGAATACAAGTTACGGACTTGTCGCCTTCGTGCTGGGTAATTATATTTTAATTATCTCAAATTTCATCTTCAAAATAATTGCTTTTGTGCCATTGTAAAATCGAAACATCATAAGTCAGACCGTCATAAGTCGAGGAGCACCTGTATAAATTGTATTAAAACTGAAAGACATCCAAGCAGTGCATGAAGGCTTTTATCCACAGCTCTGAGGAATTTAGACAATCCTGAAAGACGGAGTTTCTCTTCCACAAATGTGTACTAACCGCAGTGTTTAGGGTCTTCATCAGAACCATCTTCACAGTCTGCTTCAGAGTCACACTGCCAGCGGTGGGGGATGCATTTACCGTCACCACACCGGAACTCTGTCTGTTTGCACTTTTTCTCTGAAAAAAGAAACACA